TATACATATTCACCTACCCAATCGATTAGTATATAGTGGAGACCTCAAAAAAAAAAATAATAAAAGTGGAGGTTTCATTTAACCAATGGCTTTGAAAAGTACAGCTACACTGCACAGTACCGACACGGCAAAACATGGTACATGATACACAGTACATGCGAGCCACTATATTCTACTCAGACCGTGACTACACAGCGTCACAACTACGGTCGTCTGCCCTCGGGCATGATACGCCGAGCTGGACCGACTGGGCCGCCTATCGGACGCAAATCTGGATCAGCTCCGTTGTACCCCCGTTTTTGTGACTTTAAAAAATAAGTTCTGTCAAGGGACCCTTACTAATGTGTATCAGACCTTGCTATGTGAAGCAGTGTGGTTCCTTCAACAAATATTTTTCACCTCAATTCATGGCTTTAAACTGAGAAGTATCCACGGTATTTATCTGAATATTCACTCCTTCCCCCGCGCTGTAATAACTTCTTTAATCTACAATAACCCTAATGCACAGGATGGGAATCTATATATTCTGTCCTTTTTAAAAGCAGATATAGAAAACCTGAAACAGAGTCTAAATCTTTCTAAATGCAACCATGAGCTGTTATATAAACCTTAGGAGCAATAACTGTGAGGCTGTGTTGCCTTCAGGAACACCCGATCAAACACAGTATATATTGCCGTGTTGCCTTCAGGAACACCAGATTAAACATTAATTATCGCTGTTTGTCTGAGCGTACCTGGATCTTCCCGAGCTCCCCTGTGCTCTCCATGCGGCTCGCCACGTTCACCGTGTTTCCCCAGATGTCGTACTGAGGCTTCCTCGCCCCGATCACTCCGGCTATCACTGGGCCGTGATTAATACCTGGAGAGGAACACCATGATTTACTCTTACGGTACATCGTATAATGTTAATGTGACACAAGAAGAAAGAGATTAGAGTCAAACAGAGGAGAAACAATGAGATTCAAGAGGAAAACATTTGATCGCCCTGCTTCAGATCTTTGCCTGGACGTTGGACATTTGAAGCAAAATAAAGATGTATCATACATTTGGTCAGTTTAGTTATAATCCTATTGAAATCAAAACAAAAGTATGATGTCACCGGTCAAAAACAAGTCTTTGCTTAACACTAAACACTGCTTTCTGATAACTACGCATTGAAAACAAAGGTGTTTGGACCCAGTGGCTGATAAGAACATTTAAACCACTCAATACACATTTCAGTGTTTATGCCTTGTGTTTGGTTTTATCTCAAAAGAAAAGTAAATGTTGAAACTAAAACTTTTATCCTGATCTGTAAACTGTCAGCTGTCAGACGTTATAGTCTCTCCTACACTGGCTCAGTCTTCCTCGTGGTTAAGTATGACGTTCACTTTATTATTAGATGGAGAGACTTCTGCTGGAAGAATGAAACGACGTCTGAGAAACAACACTCGAACATACCTCATATGAAGATTTTCTATAGCACTTTAGACAGATTTTTAATACCAAATTATGTTTAAGGATTTGTGGGAACCTTGCTTCCTGCAACCATCACTTTAGTAAAAGAAAATAAGTAGAAGAAAGTATTTAAATACTAAAATATTCAAGAAAAATAACTTAAAAATCGAAATAATAATTTATTTATTTATCTTTTGTTTACCTTTTGATTGTTTGTTACCCACTTAATTGTTTGTATGTTTTATTTTGGTATTTTATTTATGAATATATGAAAGCGTTATGAAGTCTATGGTGTAAACTAACAATACAAATACACAAGGGACAACAAATAGTAATACAGCAGATAGTATAATGAATATAACTTAAAAATAAGACCCTAAACATTACACAGCAGACGCTACTAGATCTTATAAAGACGTTTTCACGAGTGTAACAAATCCCGATGGTCAGTGAATGCAACGTCATGGCAACAACGCTGCATCGATGCATTCCGTGTCCAGTGTAACCATGGAAACCTGTTGTGTTATTGTACAGACCCGTTCAGCGAATGAAGCAGGTTGTTNTATCAGAAACAATGCCTGACATGTTTTGGACATCTTTGTTTACATTAGCAAACCTCGCTAACGCTCAGAGCTAACCTGTACTGGAGAGCACACAGCAGGAAATAAAAAAAGAACTCACCTCGTGATAAACCCGCAAGAGAAAAAGCATTTGAGCTCCATACTGTCTCAGAAATAATCCTTGATGTGGTTTAGAACGGGATGGCGTTTTACCACAGCACAATTTAACTTTATCTCCGGTAGAATTCTGATCAGGCATTAGCTCCGCCTCCTCTTATTTTATTTTTTTCAAGCTAAGGACCCAACATCTGCGTTTCTCTAACAGGGCTTTAAAAGAGGGGTATGAGTAGTATGAGGCATGGCTGAACTGTTTGGTATTTTGAAAAACACTTCACAGACATGTTTTGTATAGGTATGGCCCTACAATATATATTTCAAATATAGCATGATAGGTCCACTTTAATATTTGGGTGTTGGACACATTTCTAAAGCTTTCTGACGCTGTGTGGTGCACAAAGGCCTCTGGGTAAGAAAGGTGAGGAGGTGTGTAGCTCAGCTGGCAAAACATTATTTCGCTGACTTTATGAGAATCGTCCTTCATAACATCCGCAGGGCTCCGGAGAACATTCTGGTGTCCCACATTGCTCCCAAATCTCTGTACTTCACTATTTCTGAATATGCTCTGCACGGCTTTAACCAGCAATTAGCCAGAAACATTAAAGCTGCAACGTTTCCCGACATAGGAGAGAGTTTTATTTAAATCTTTGGGCTTCAAAACCCAGAAGTCCTGCACAGAAATGGGCTCGAAAGAAGCAGAGGAAGAGATCTCAAAGCTGCGGTTGGTTTGGCTCGATAGACGTTTGAATTAGTTTCTTTCCCTGCCAGTGAAACATCCCCAAACTGCACATTTCTTTTGTTCTGGTAAACAGTGAATGTGCAGCATCTCAATTAGCCGTGATTCTTCTTTATTGCAGTGATTTAGGCTGATTAGCTGGGCGTAATTTTCCATAAACATCCTGTCTGGCGCAGCTTTAATGGCACTCTGCAGCACAGACAGAACAACACAAAATCACAGAAACACAAACCGCGCTTTCACTTATTTCTTTATTTATGTTGAGTACAGGCGAGAGACTCAAATAAAGAGTCTTGATGAGATGACGTAAGCATCTCTCAAAAAGTACAATTAAATAACAGGAATAACTAGTTGAAGAGACCAAAACATCCAAAAACACACGCATGACATGCAGAACACTTTCATTATTCCATTCAGTGCCACTTAGATTTCATTATTTATCATTTCGTGTTGTTTTGTTCCACCTTTTGATCGTTCGTGGCGGTATTTTTCCCCCAAACAATTGTCTGTGCAATGTATTTTTTAATAATCTTAAATACAGCTGCCTCATTAATTGAAGGAGAACACGTTTTGAGTGTTTAACCCAACAGGATAATTGCATTTATTATATGTGGGCTCTTTTCATCCAGAAGCCCCAATAACACGTTGAAAGGTGTGGATTTAAAATGAGTGCCAATCTTGACTCTTGGTCGTCAGACAAGAGAAACAACATGTGCATCCTGTGGTTTGTTAGTAACAGTAATCACGTTGATTATCTTGAATTCTTCAATAGGATTTAATTGTTGTCAAATGTTTCCACGGGTATCAAAGTATTAGATGAATCTTCCCAGAAGGAGCAGGCAGTATGAGGGACAACTGCAAGGCCGCTGCTCTGCAAACAAACATTCAAACTTATTTTGTTTATCCTTTATTTTAGATTTAGATTCTGACACCTTGTATCAGGCGCACAAACCTTTCTCTTATCCCAATCAGAATAATATTGCAAGGTACGTTTACGCATACAAGGAATTAGCTTTGGTGTGTGGTGGTGCAAATCAGAAAACCTTTATTCGTCACACATTCGAAGACATTTACTGTTAAAGCAAAGAGCCAAAGATAGCTTAATATCGCTCAAGAAGCAAGATACAAAACTAGAAATCCCACAATATACAAAACACACATCCAGGACGGATAAACGTTTAGCGATATAACAGCCAGGTGAAAGGATTAGAGGTGGTAGAATCAATTGCACGGCTATTTACGGTAAATATGTATTACACATAAGTGTTTCTGATTGTATGGAAAGGGCTGTTATGTTGAGCACTATCAGAAGCGCTGTACAAATCCAATGTATTATTATTATTATTATGATGTGTGTGTTTGGGGTGTGAGGTCTGACCGCTGCAGGAAGGAAGGACCTGCGGTAAACATCAACAACATAAGGGAACACGTCGTAAGAGAGGGTCAACAATAACTATTTAACATTAAAAAATAATAAAGACTAGTATTTAGACCACATTTAAATATAAAAAAGAAACAAAAACATACAGTACAATGAATAAATGGCAACACATCCAATCCAACTTTATTTATATAGCACATTTAAAAACAACAGAGTTGACCAAAGTGCTGTACATCAATACATATATAAAAAAGCAGCATAAATACATTTAGACAAAACCGATAGGACAAAAAGAAACAAATGTAAAAGCACGAGAAAATGAAACCATACTTGTAAATGGACTTTACTTATAAAGTGGATACTTATGTCATCCACCCATTCATACAGAGCAGTGCACCTTGCTCTAGGACCTAACATTCACACACCGTTGGCCATCGGGGGCAACTCAGGGTTCAGTATCTTGCCCAAGGATACATCGACATGTTGACGGCACGGGCTGGGATCGAACCCACAACCTTCTGGTTGAAAGACGACGCACTCCCTCGCAGCCGCAGTTGCCCCGAGTAACCACAGATTGAACACATGAGGAACTGCAGTGTGTTATATTATAATAAGTGGAGGGGTGTTTCTTCATCTCACTCTTTCCGATCTTTCTACTTTGATTTGATTTCTCGTAACAGTATAAGAGGAAGGATGTGCAGACATGTGCAAATTATTCATATTCTGCTTTCTTTATCTCACTTTCTCCTCTTCTCTCTCCCGGCTGCAGGTGAGACAGTTTCCCTGGTGGATGTTGATATTTCGCGGCGAGGGGCGAACACGCCTCACCCCCCCACGCCTCCCCCTCCTCCACGCAGAAGCCTCAGCCTGTTAGGTACTTTAATCCACTTCCTGTCCGTCTCTTCTTCTGTTTCTTATTTATTCCACAAATATATAACAAATATGGAGATACACATCAAAATCACACCCGCCTCAGTTTATAGTCCACTCAAATCTACACGTTATTGCTCACACACA